TTTTTATAAAAACTTACTCTTTAATATGCCAAAGTACGTTTTTGTATAATTAGAATTCACGTGTATAAAGAATTATTTACCTTCTTCTCTTTCTTCTTATTATTAACGTAAATCGCGTTACAATCGATTATAAATTACAATGAAATATAAATTGTGTGTAATTAATTCATCAACCGTCTATATTGAAGTTAAACGACCCTTTGCATATTTTTTTGCTTAACGCATGTTGGAAAAATAAATACATTTTTTTCTCTGTATAATGTATATTAATATATGGAAAAATACACCATATCTAGTAAAAAAGCTGTATTTTGAGATAAAGGAATTTATCATATAAAAAATGAAATTGCGCATTTTTTCAATTTTTAATTAAAACCATTAGTGAGTTTATAGATATATGACATAATATATAGTGCCACTTTATCACTCCTATATAAAGAAGGATAGTATCATAAAATACATGATCCACTTATAGTACTTGATTAAATGGAAAAAAGTAGAATCATTGACTAAATAAGACATAAATTATTTAAACGGATATCAAATTCTAAAATTTTCACATTTTATATAAATATATCATTGGAAAATGAATTAAACTTGAATATTGATCAATCTGATTAAAAACTCGTTTTTTTTGTTTCGCGATTTAAAAAAAGCGTTTTTTTCTTATATTAAAATTTTTGCATGAGCGATCGAAAAAAAATTTATTGTCAACATTATAATGTTCCTTTAGAATAATGTTAGAAATATTCTATCAATATATTGTGAGAATATTCCATTAGAATTTTGTAAAAATATTTTTTTTATCATTATTAGTATTATTGATGATATAGTAATCAATTTTCGCTCCATTTAAATAAATTCATTCATTTCTTTTGAACAGAGAAAGTTCATTAAAAAGTAAATTTAAAAAGCAATATTCCAATGGAATATCCCTGTAATATTTCAATGAAATATCCCTACTAATATTCAAATAACAATATTCCAGTGGAATATTCCTATACATTATTCCAAACACTTAAGGATGGAATATTTTAGGAATGTAAATGAAATATCCCGTGATATTGGAATGGTTTTTTTAACAACAAATCAGTTGATTACTATAGTAGTTGTAGAACTATCATTTTTTGTTTTTCTCTAAATCTGAATCAGTTAAAATTTTAAAAGAGCTGTTTTAAAAAATCATGATTTCTTTAAAAATAAAAAAAATTCGATTTAAATAAAACAAAATCGGATTTTTTTTTATTTAAATCAAATTTTATCTGGAGCTTTGTTTTAAGTAATGACAATGAAAAATTAATTTTATAATAGAAGCAACAAAGAATATCAACTTTATTTGTAAAGAAACTATTTAACCGAACATGTTGAAAAAATAAATGACTACCTTCTGTTTAATTAACAGTCTTTGTATGTATTTATAAGATATATTGGTTTCCTTATAATTTTTTTATTTTTTTATAAAACTTTAAAGAAAAGTACTGGTAGAAGGATAAAGAATTAAATTTTGAACAATTCAAACAATGAAAAGTTGTATTTTAATAAAAATTACAATTTTTTGGCAAAAGAAATATTTGTTAAATATTAGGTTTAATCGTTTTCTATTAATATAGAAAATTGTAATTTTTATTCAAATGCAACTTTTCATTGTTTAAAATGTTGGAAATTTAATTCTTTATGCTTCCACTAAGTCGAATTTTAAATTTATTAATTTATCATTTTCATATTAAAATACGAAACCATAACTAATATTTTTGCAATGAAACTGAAGTTACCATTATTTTCGTTAACGCAAAATGTGAAAAATTTTCTTTTTCAAGACCAAGAAGCAAGTAATTTTTGATAAAAAGAGCTTTATTATTTTCATTACAACCTGAACAGATTATCAAGCCAATCGGGGCGGGAAAGACAATAGTTACTGAAAAATTTAAGGTTTTTTTAAATTTTATTTTGTCGGCGTAAACTTCTTTAGTTTCATCTTTTGTTCCGATTCTTTCAGATTCTTTGTTGAATTCTTCTTTGAGTCAAAGTTGATTAAAAAAACTTATTTTTAAGTAAAAATTTGATTTAAATCATGATTAAAACAAAAACATGTTTTTGATTTAAATCCTTATTTGAATTATGATTAAATGTAGTTCCGATGATATATTGGTTTTACTTTTCAAGAGGTTTAATTTTCTGTTATTTTTAAGATGGTTCATGTTGAGAATATGTTCAGAGTTGTCCATCGTTTTTCGAATCCACCCGGAAAATTAAAATAAAGCAAAAAAATTTGTTTCATAGTTTGAATGATTTTGAACATGTTAGTATTGTTCAAATTCATATACCCACACAGTACTGAAGATTTCCTGAAACTTGACAGGACCTCGCCCATCGAGGTTAAAGATGGTTATTTAAATGTCCGCATATAAGGAATATTGGAAATCAAACCAGATCGAAAATTATATTGCAAATATTGACTTGCGATGTTCAGGCTTAAGGTTGATATTTAATATTTCCTCACATGTGGACATTTAAACAACCACACAGCCTTCGCCATGAGCTTCGACACTCAATATTTCTAACCTCGCTGAGCGAGGTCCTGTCAAGTTTTAGGAAATTCTCAGTCCTGAGTGGGTAAAGTATAGGTCAACTTCCTATTATATTTTACCTGAAGTTGTTGTAGCCTATTTTTAGAAAAATTTGATACTTCGTATTAATGATTTGCAATATCCTTACAATTTATTTTTGCCAATTATTTAAAAAAAATTTTTGTGTTTAATTTGGAATTTTTTAATTATACATTTTTCTAAGTAATTTTGTAACTATTTAAAAATCTACTATACTTTCAATGTGCTTTCATAATTTTATAATGTAGAACTGAAAAATTCTACCTTATTACTGTATTGAGTCTTTCAAGCTTTTCGGCGATTTTAATCTCTTATGACTTTTCAGGCGCAAATCAAAAAATCTAATTTTGTTCTTAATATTTAAGTTAGACCTTCTTCTTCTACCTTGTTAAAATTCAGTTGATTGAAGGAACACGTGTTAATATTGTTACCATCAAACTTTCAGGAAAATTTTTTTTTAATATCTTGATTAATTTTTTGGGGTGGGACCAAAGATTTGGAAACATAACCCAAATAAGAACCATAAATTTATAATTACCCAATAAATAAATAGTAGGTAAAAAAAATTATAAAAAATAACCAAAAACTTAAATACTAACCAAATGATTTGGTTGGTTGGACCAAACATTTTTCAAAGTAATAATTAGTCATAACAAAGACAATTAAGTAATAGAAGTTTTAATTATTGTCAGCTTTCGAAAAATTGTACTTGTGATCGCTGATAGTAGGACTATTATTAATGATGATAAAAATAATTGATAATTTCAAGAATTGGAGGTAACAACTTGACAATTATTGCATTGTATGATATAGATAATAATGTATTTTTGTATTGGTTGTTCTATTCAAATGACACGTAGTTTGAACAAAAAGAATACAAAACTTTGACTGTTAAATTTTACTATTTATGCCCACACAGCACCGAAACTTTCAAAAAAAATTTATTAAAGATTTACTTAATCTTTACACAATTTTACTAAATACTTTGCAAGCATGAAAGCATCACTAGTGCTCAAAGGGTTAAGAGAATGTTATTAGATAAAATTTTCATATATAGTAGAACCTCGATTATACCAATTAATTTAGGCAAGGTTCGGATAATAGAAAATGCAATTATTTTTGTTTATATTCGCATTGAGAAATGATTGTTTTGAAAATATGTTGTATACTATTAAACGGCATTTATATCTTCTTTTATGTATTTACAGTAAAAATCAATGGTTAGTCAATAAAATTTCTTTATTTTCATGAGATTTTAGTACCAGTAGATGTAAAAATTAAAAATTTGTGTTTAAGATGACAAAAAAATTCGGATAAAATAATTTACAGTTCGGATAATTGAGGTTCCACTGTAGTTGAATTTAAAATTTCTGAATTAAAATTAAATTAAATTAAATTATTCTTTATCCAAATTCTGAATATCCAAAACTTCAACTAACAATCTTTTTATTTACACGAAATCAAATTAAGTCGAATTTTAATTTAGCAATTATAATTTTTTAATAGAATCCAAAAAATGTTAAAATATCAATTGCCAGAATTTCTCCAACCAAACATTCGACAGAAATATGATAATGTTTGTTCGAAAAAATGACAATTCTTTCAATTGATATTTCGACATTTTAAGGGTTCTATATCAAATGACAATTTGTGCAATTTAATTTTATATCAAAAAATGTGTTCAAATAAAAATTTTTAAAAAATGAAGATTCGATGAAATGGAAATTCTGATAAGTAAATCTACGACTTACTAAAATTCTGTTAAATGCATGATATTTCCGCTAAATTAAATTTCGAATAAATTTGATTTCTTTTAAAGAAAAAGTAGATAAAATAGAGAGAATAGATCGAAATCTTATCAAATAGAATGTCTGTTAAATAATAATTTGGTGACCTAATATTCTGTTATGTAAACTTTTCGTTAAAAATTTGCGTTAATTTATAAATTAAAATTATTACCTATATTTACTGGAAACTTTTTAAAATATTTTTTTATAATAAATATTCAAAATAATAATTTTTATAGGGTATACATGCTGCCTTATTAATATTGACCATCAAATTGTTAGTTTGAATAATGGTATCATTTAAATGTTAAATTTAAAAATTAAATGTAAGCTTCATTTGTAGCATAGGACTAAATACAACCATTGGTTTATGGTGTTTCAGTTAAATTCCGCTGACTATTATCAATGAGAAACCATTCTTTATCAATTCAAACATATATAAACAATTTTTAAATTTAAAGTTAATCAAAATTTTTATTATAAAAGAAAAAGATTTTTGGTGCTTTTTTTAAAAATTGTATGTGAAAGGTGTTTGAATAAATAAATAAAAGTGTGCGATGAAAATGAATGATAGAATTTGAAAAATAGTATTTTTTTTTTGACTTACCGGTAGTGGCAGCAAGGTACTGAAGAAATTTTGAACCCTTCTCTGCCATTTTTTTTGCTTGTGAAATGTGATGGTAACCTTTATTATTAACGCACTGGGACTCTTTGCTGGTATTGTTTTTATAAAAATTAGTGAGTGTGGTGGTGGGATGGTGCACTGCTGAAGTAGAACTTACTGGTACAGGGCTGTAGACATACTCTTTATATGGTTGCCCCTCTATTTCCTCGTTGTTACGATTGGTGGGGGTCATTATAACTTTACGTTTACGAATCCGCGGACCCTGTCGCCTGTATTCGCGCTCTTTTTTCACGACCTTGCCACTAGAAAATGTTATAAAAAAAATCACATTATTCAGTGCGATTAATATATCAATGCAATTATAGTATAAATAAATCTTCAGTTTCAATGTCTCCTCTTTATACGTTGGGTTCAAAATATTAAAGATCATTGAACTTTTCATTCAATCAACTTATTCGCACCCAGACGCACTAGACACATAGCATGTACAACTTCTCGTCAATTATTAATGTTGTAGGTATACATTGTCTGTAATTGACAAACGCTATTAATAAATAGTAATGAATAGTTTAATCGACTATTTTTAATTTTCAACTTTTTATTTTTGCAAAAAATCTTTTTCTTTAATTTTTATTCGTCATTCATAAAATTATATCAACTACTACCTATTTTCTTTTATTTCAGAAATATTTTCAAAAATTAAATTAAAACCAAAAGTTTAGAATTTTTTTTTTCATTTAATGTTTATTTATTGTAATTCGTTACTTAATTGTATTAATATAATTTAAATTATTAATTAAAATATTAATAATTAATATAAATCATAATAATTATATTAATAAAAATAAAGGTTCTTCAATACTTTAACTTTTTTTATCAGTAAATATTTGTTATTGTTTTCAGTTATAAATATTTGCTAATAATAAATTGTTGTCAATCATACAAAACCACTTTTGAAATCATTTTTTATTTTAAAAAGTTTTAGTTTCTGTTCTATCAAAACCCAAAATAATATAATTACACTACATTAAAAGAATATTTAGTATTTTATATAAAATAAACAATTTTAATAATGATAGAATTTAAAAATTTATAAATTCATATTTTTTCATAAAAATTAAATATAAATATTGGAATTTAATTTTATTAATATAATTAATAACTATAATCAATTGTACAATTGTGCAATTAAAAAATCTTAGTTATATTAAATTCTTTCTTACGGTCCTTATTTATTAAAAATAAATTTAGATAATTTAATTAATTGAAATTTATTATTAAATTTTATGACTTTGAACAAACAATTTTAACATTTACAAATAATACAGGAAAAATTAAAAATAATTTTTCTTTTACTGTCGAACCTTTACAATTAAAATTTTTAATTAATTAATTATTTTCAAAGTTGTCAATGAATTAATTGTTAAATATTAATTTTTCATAAAGTTGGTCTTAGTACCTACAATAAGCAAGAAAAAATAATAAAATTATTACAAAGAAAGATTCAATATTAAATTTCTAATAGAAATAAATAAATAAAAATATAAGAAAATTTTTTGGTGACTTTAAATAATATCCATGAACAAAAAGTTTTGAACGTTCAAATGAACGAAATATTTTTTGTTAAAAATATTTTCATAGATTATTGATTACAATTCAAATTAAAAACTCAAATTTTACATTTAGGAACATTATAATTAATTTGCTTAATAGTGACGCAAAATTATAGTAATAAAAATTTAATTTGAAGAAGAAATAAATAAATTTCGTTCATTTGAACGTTCAAAACTTTAACCTCCTTAATATCCCTATTAAAAATTTCTACTTGAGTACAGAAAAATAATAAAAAATTTTGAAAGTTTGATGCTTTTGGCCTTTTTTCTATAAAGAAACAGAATTTATTTTACAAAAATTGTGATTATAAAATAGTAATTATGCCAAATTTTTTTATTTATTTCTATAAAGAAATCAGAATTTTTGTATAATAATTGCTAAAAATAGAAATTCTGCATGTTTTTTTTAAAGAAATACTTGAGATTTTTTAAAAAAAATTGTGATTAATAGATATTGAAAAATATAAACTTTTTTCATTGTTTTAAAAAAGCTCAGAATTTTTTACAAAACTTGTGAAAAACAAAATTATACACAAAGACAAACTTCAGATGTGGACAGAAAGAAAGAATACCACGATTGTTATAGGTTATTATAGGTTAATTAATAATAATAATAATAATATGCAATTCTTTTAATAAAAATAATTTTTTAAATATATTTGTTAGTCAACAATTATATTTTTTATAATATACAATGAGCGTGTCTGGAGCAAAGTCTAGTCAACAAAATAATGAAAAGATAATATTTTCTTCACTTGGAAATATATGGGCGAATCTCTGGAACTTTTAACCTTTATGTCCCTCACATTATTTTCACTTAAACAGCCTAAATATAAAAACCAACGATTTTTAAATATTTACATGTTTTTAAAAAGAAAATAAGGATTAAGATTTAACCATTGATATAAATTATTTTGTTTATTTTTTCTATGTTTTTCTTTATTAAAGTTCACAATACCATGATTTTGCAAGTGTCACTTTCACTTTTTCTAAAAGTATTTTAACTGTTTAAATAAGATTTTTTTGGAAAACACGTTTTTACTGTTATAAACTATTTAAAAATATCTTAAAAATTCCATAAACAAACTTAAAAAAAATAAAAAGTAAAAATTATGAAAGATATAATCTTCTAAAAAGTGTCCCTCAGTTTTTGTGTCGCTGGTCAAATCAAAATGGTTTTATAAAATAAACATTTAAAAACTAAATGAAAAAATTTGAAATAAGAGGCACAATTGAATAGTAATTCAAATTTTATGTGCGTGATTTTTATTTTTATTTTCAACTATATTTTAAGCAAAATAATTGTTGGATACTTGTGATACTGGTGTAGTACGAAAAATATGTCGCTGGTCAAATCATTAATTTCTCCAAAGTTTCTTATTTAATTTGCTCCAAAATTGGGGCACATATTACTTTAGATGTATTTAAAACTGTGCATATGTTTTTATTTATTCTAATTCTTATTTAATTATTTTTTTTACGTGGATATTCAAATTGTCGCTCGTCAAATATGTCGCTTGGTCAAATCAATAGTTTTCCAATCAATCTGAAGTTTCGCATTTATTTGTTCCGTGTCATTTATCACGAAGTAACCAAAAATGTAATAAAAAGTGACAAAATGAAAGAAAATCAAAGAAAAGAAAATAAAAAGCGAGAAAAAGGAAACGCGGAATGAAAAATTTATCAACGGAAGGCACTTAAGTAATATTTATTTATTTTTTATTAAACGTTCATGAAACTGTTAGTGTTTTTTCAAGGTTATATTAAGATCCTCGATATTTCTTCAAAACAATTCAGCCAATCAAATAATTAGAAAATTTCATGTTACTAATTCAAATAATTATACGTAAAAAATTTTCATTAAATTTTTTTATTGGGATTTTGTCCTTATTAGTTGTATTAGACGTTTATTATATTTATTTTCATGTTTAATTATGTTTTTGTGATACTGAGAAATAACTTACTTAAGTGTAGGAGATAAAATGTTTATGTATATCTATTGTTACAGATTTAGATAACCTAACATTATTTTCTTTCCAAAAATTTATATTTTAAAATAGAAGGCAACCAAATAATGGTTGTACAGTAATTAAAATGAAATTTATTTTGGTCGAAGATGTAAGACCAAAAATATCAAAATTGTGCACACAAAAAATTTTTTTAAAAAATTAAAACTCGAATGTTAAAGTTTCCAGAGATTTGCCCATATACCCTCCAATGTAGTAAAAGAAAACAAAAGTTTATTTCGTATGCCATACCCATCTCATTTTTTTCCCCACTGAAAAGAACTTTTCATTTATTAAACAAAATTTTCAACTAAATCGATTTATTTAACTTATGATAATTTTTAACTAATAAAATTAACGATGAGAGAAAGACATATACATGCAAATGGTATTAAGAAAATAGAAAAAAAATTATAAGAACGCCTTTTTATGACGATCGTAATTATCGATAATAAATGATAAGGAAATGATTACGCTCACCATGACGTATATTATGTCTTTTGCCGATCCTCCAATTTTGCAATATTAAGCATAAATCAAAGGTTAAGTTCATGTACTATAAGTTAGGCGTTGGTAAATAAAATTGTTATCTTCGCTGATTTTTAATTTCTTATATAGTCTGACGAGATGATAAATTTTCACGTTTTCCACTTTAACACGTAATGTATATAAAATATTTGTTAAAAAAAGTTTCTATGACACTTGTATTTTATAAATTTTTATCTTCGCACTTTATACGTTGAAAGATAATTGCACTTTTATTTATTTCTTATAATTGTTTGTGCGCGCATATTTCCATAATATTGATATTATATATTTTTGCTTATAATGAAAATTTTTCTTAACCGTGAACTTGAAATTTAGATTTCAAATTGTAAATATTGTCTAAACTTGAATTTATAAAAAATTAGCTATATATTAGTAAGAATTTTTAATAACTTATTAACATTTATTAGTCAGTTTTTACTAAAAGTTTAGTATAAAACAAATCATAACTTCCAAAAAATACCTATATTTTACTATAAAAATTGGTAAATCTTCTTACAACATTATTTAGGGTTCACTTCCCATTAATTATATTTAGAGAGTATACTGTCATTAGCCAAAATTACACTGAAAAAGAGAATTTATTTGATTCAAATAACCGATTACTTGTCTATTATCAATTAAATGTTTACTTGAATCAAATAATGTTTGATTAAAACAAATAAATTGTATTTAAAGAAATAATTTAACAATATGAAACAAAACATTTAATTGACTCAAATTAAATTGATGCTTTAAGTAGATATTGTTAGTAGAAAACTAGATTTTAGAATAGAATTAATTACTAAAATTTGACTGTTTCTTTCAGTATTTTAAATTTTCTCTTTTAAAGAAAATACTTACAAATTTTTGTAATTTCAAATCTTGTTTTTAAACGTTTTAAACAAGACGATCTCTCATTAGTTTTGAAAATGAATAATTAGCGGAAATTCTCACTTATTTAAATTAGTAGACGACTTTTCACTGATTCAAATTTATATGGAGAGTTGAGTCTTGATTTATTGAGTCGAGAATCTTAATCCGGAAAAACTGATGTTTTAAGTAGAAAAGGCAGTTTTGAGCGAGACAAACTTTATTTTTAA